TCCAGGGAATCTCGCATGGAATCACGCAGGGAATCATCCATGGGATCACGTGAAATCAGAGAATTTCGCATAGAATGTCACGTGGGATCATGTGATTATTCCAAGGAAAAACCCATGGAATCACAAGGAATTACCCATGGAATGGAATCACAGGGAATCACATGAAATCGGTCTGGGAATCACACATAAAATCATGCATGGAATCGCACAGGGAGTCACCAATGGAATCACATGAAATCAGATCAGGAATCTCACATGGAATCAGCCATGAAATCAGATCAGGAATCTCACACGGAATCAGCCATGGAATCACAGGGAATCACATGAAGTCAGATCAGGAATCTCACATGGAATCAGCCGTGGAATTGCACAGGGAATCAGATCAGGAATCTCACACGGAATCACAGGGAATCAAATGAAAGCAGACCGAGAATTGCACATAGGATCACCCATGGAATCACACAGGGAATTGCAGAGAGTTAGACTGGGAATCTCACATGGAATCATCCATGAAATCAGATCAGGAATCTCACATGGAATCATCCATGAAATCAGATCAGGAATCTCACATGGAATCAGCCATGGAATCACAGGGAATCACAGGGAACCACCTGAAATCAGACTGGGAATTGCACATAGGATCTCACATGGAAATCACAGGGAATCACAGGAGATCAGCCATGGAATTACACATGGAACCGCACAGGGAATCACACAGGGAATCAGCCTGGGTATCACACATGGAAGTGCACAGGGAATCACATGGAATCATCCATGGAATCACACAGGGAATCACATGGAATCAGCCCGGGAATCACATTGAATCACACATGGAATCACACATGGAATCACACAGGGAATCACAGGGAATCACACACGGAATCATCCATGGAATCGCACATGGAATCAGCCCGGGAATCGCACACGGAGCCGCACGCGAGCGGCTCCCGCATCCCCGGGCCGGAGCTGACCTCTGCTGGCGGGAGCCCTCAGCAGCCGAGCGCCCCCCGAGAGCCCCCCGGCCCCCTCGGGGGGTCCCCAGAGCCCCCATCCCAGCGGCCGCAGGGATTTGGGGGAGCCGGGGCTTGTCCAGGCTGGGATCCGCGGGAGGAGGGGCTCCAGAGTACCTGGGGGGCTCTGCCGTGTGGGGAAGGGGTTGGGCACTGCCCGGGGGGGGGGTTGGAGAGTCAGGATTTGGGGTTGAGCACTGCCCGGGGGGGATTTGGAGTCAGGATTTGGGGTTCGGCACTGCCCGAGGGGGTTTGGAGAGTCAGGATTTGGGGTGCTGGGGGGATTTTTGGGGTCCCAGGACTGGGGTCCCAGCACAGCCCCGGGGTCACAGGACACCGGGACAGGCGCACCCCGCACCCCTGGGTGCCACCCCAGGGTCCCCTCGCTGCTGTTTGTGGCCACGACCACCCCTCAGACCCCCGTGGGGTCACAGCGGGACCCCGGGGGGATCCCGACAGGGGGGTCCCCCCTTCTCGGCACCGGTTCCTCGAGGCGCGGGGGCTCCCGGCACTTGTCGCGACATTCCCAGGCCATGGAAAATATTCCTCCCCATCCGCGCCGCCCCCGGCCGGGCTCGGAGGAGGAGGAGGAAGAGGAGGAGGAGGCGGCCTTGGCACAGGCGGGGGCACTGCTGGCTGGACGGCCACGGCGGGCCCCAGATGTTGAGCTGCGGGCACGGCTTTGCCCGTTTGGCAGCGTCCTCTCCCAGCTGCCGCCCCTGTCCCGCGGCTCCGCAGCCGGGGCTGCCGAACCCCCCCGGAACGGCCCCGCTCGTCCCCCGGGGCCCGCGGCGACACCTGGGCCAGCCTGGCCCCGACCCAGGCGTGGAGCTGCGCCGGCATTCCCGGAGGGAGCGGGATCCGCGCCAGCTCCGGGAAAATCCCCCGGGACTGGCGGCCCCGGCCCCTCCGCGGACCCCGGGGTCGGGGGGGGCATGGGGGGCGTTTTCAGGGGTCAGCGCAGAGATCCCGGGGGATCCCCGGCTCCCCGCGCAGCTCCGTGAAGGGAGCGGGGGTTTCCCGAGCCTTCCCAGGCAAATCCATTAATTAGTCGATGAACCGAAATTAATTAGGATCGGTTCCTCCGAGTGCGGCTGAGGCTGCGGCTCCAGGATCCACATCCCGGCTGATCCGGGGGGGCTCTCGAGATGTCCCGGCTGGAGGGGACATCCCGGGGCGCTCCTTGTCCCTGCTCCTCCCGAGGGACCCCCGGGGGCGGCCCCCAGAGCCACCCCCACCCCACCCATCCCTCCCCATCCCAACCCCGGCCTTCAGAGCCAGGAAAAACCTTCCTTGGCCTCGGGGGTGGGGGGTGAGGGTTGGACCCCAGCCCCCCCCAGTGTCCCCAGTGTTCCCAGTGTCCCCAGCCCCCCTCCAGTGTCCCCAGCCCCCTCCAGTGTCCCCAGCCCCCCCAGTGTCCCCCCCCTCCCTTTACTGGGGACATCGCGGCCTTTTGGGGCCACCGGGCGGGGACATCCCGGGAGCCTGCAGGACGTCACTTGCTTAGATGTCACCACCTGGCAGCTGATGACGTCACCCACACGTCACCAGCTGGCAGCTGCTGACGTCACCTGGCTGTCACCACCCTGCTGATCCCAAGGCTCTGTGGGGTCCGCTCCGTTCCTCTGCTCCGTCCTTTATTTGGGGTCAATTCCCGGCTTTTGGGGACAGCGCCAGGCCCGGTCCCACCCCAGGTGGCCGCAGGTGACCTTTTCACACCGGGTGGCCCCACCCGGGTGGGTCCCAGCCCCGAACCACGCTCGGTTCCCCCTCGGGGGACAATGACAGCGCCAGGAGCGACTTGTGCCACCTCCCAGGGGACATTCCCCTCTGCAGCAGCGCCCGGCCCTGCTCACCGCCAGCCTAGGGGATAAAAAACCAAAAAAACCAGAAAAAAACCCAGCCGAAGCAGGAAAAGCAGATTTTTGTGAAGCTGTGAATTCTCTCACCTGCCCGGAGCTCGCACCGAATTCATTTTCCCGCCCCCTCCGCGTCCCCTCCACATCCCAGAGCTGGCAGCAGGCGCCTCTCTCCGGGAAAAAACGGCCCAAAAAGCGCCGGGTTTGGGGAAAAAGCTGCCCGGCAGCGGTGGGAGGAGGCGCGGGGAGATGTCAGCCAGCGAGGAGGAGGAGGGTGAGGATGAGGCAGCTCTTCACACCGGCATGAGGCATTTCCCTGCGCAGGGAGGGGCCGAGTTTGTTCCTAGCAGGGATTTATTGAGGGGAAAATCATAAATTTCGGGTGTTCCCCCATCCTTGGAGAGCTGAGCGAGTTGGGGGTGACCGGGGAGTGGAAAGAGAGCCACGAGATGTCCTTTACTGGGCTCCAAACTGGGAAGCAGTGGGCAGCGGTTCAGCCGCGTGCCCCTGTGGGGATTTTGGGGGGAGCAACCCCAAAAGCTTCACGGGACCAGGCTGATCCCGGGGGTCCTTCGGGAGTGTTCCACGGCTCCCAAAAACCACAGAGCTGCTCCCGCTGCTCCCCCCCCCCC